ATGCATTCTGTGGGTTCCAATGTATATTTAGACGTTCCTAATACAGTGCTGGATTTGATTACTGGAATGCAAAATAAAAACCGTATATTTGTAAGTACTTGTTTTATATTTGCATGGAATTATTTCCACAACCACAACGGACCACCAGTAGTCATGATCGTTGATTAGAGTCCAAAAGAATTACTGAACAGCTGCTGGCTGTCACAAAAACCGTCTCCTCTTTGCTTATTATATCATTTTTTATTAATGTTTCTGTACAAAGGTACTATACAAATTGAAATACGACTCAATAAATTTAAATGTTTTTAACTTATGACTGTACCTTGATATACTTATAACAACATTTTCATCCACTTGCTCTTATCCCTTATAGACGGTCGGCACAGTATGTGCTGCTCTTCCATACATCTCTATCAGCCGTCATATCTGAATTCATTCCTTTCTTAAGCATATCCTCTTTCACACAATCCATCAATACTTTCTTCGGTCTTCCTCTTCCTTTGTAGCCACATTCAATCTTAACACTTTCTGGTTTATGTCCCCATCGTCTCGTCGCATAACATGTCCATACTTATAAATACAAAGTTGAATAAATTAAAGCACCATTTGTGCTGGAAGTTAATATTTCAAAGAATTTATATTCCGATGTACAATAAATGAATATAAAACTGAATCAAGGTAATATTTATTTCGGTTCTCATTCTTAAGCTGTTTATTTCATCCCCGGCTTTCTTGACGGCATTATTCAAATCGTACCTGACTACAATCCACGATATTAAAAAACAACACCGAGTGTGAAACGTCTTATACGGTTCTGTATTTCATTTATTTTTAAAAGTAAAACATTTTATAGGTAAATCGGTAATAAACATTTAACTATAAAAACAAATGTTTAAGTTAAACTGTATTCATTTAAACTGATATTTCACGTAACTTGTAACTAATTACAAAATCAATAAAGTAGAAAGATTTCATAATAATTCGGGAATGAATACTATTAAGATGAAATCTCCATCTTCATAATTTGATGTTTCGGCTACAACACACCACAATGTTAACACTCTTAGATACAAACCCGCGAATATTACACACTAGTCGAAGATGGATGTTTGTTAGCGTTTGTAGCCTAAACGGCTGAACGGATCTCCATGAAATTTGGCACAGGCTTAGAATACATAGGCTACTTTCTATTCCGGGAATAGTTACGGTTCCCGTGGGATTCATGCATTTAGTTTTTTAATGTTTACTTGATCATTCTGCAACGGTTCAACATATCTTATTGAACAGTAAAGATATAAAGCAAAGTCTGGAGTACATATGGGATAAGGTTCATCCCCGAGAAATGTAAGGTTCCCGAGGGATACGTAGCCTTTTGGTATTTATATAGTCCATATGTTTTATTTCTTTATTTATACTTTGTACACAAGGAAAACAATTTACAATAAATATGTATTGAAAATTGGTTGTACAGGTGAGCTTAACTCTAAAAGAGTTACCTTACTGCTAACCATGAGATACAGAGTAAAATTCTAATACCACGCGGACGAAGTCCCGGGCAACAGCTAGTAAATACGGCAACGACCTTTGAACTTGTAAAAAGGTGCCTTTAGGTAGGCGGTCCGTCCTGTCATCGGGTAACGAATAAAATTTATGTTAATCGCGAGATAATAATATTCGATAAAACTTTTCGCTTTGAGTTACTTTTTGATACCTTTTAGATATGTATCACAATATTTTATACTCTGTTCACGTTCAGAAACGTATCTATAATTAAGTCACGGGTGTAATAAGATTTTAGACAAAAATATTGAAATACAAAAATAAAAATACGAAAAATTTTTGGTAACCAAAAATAAAATAATTAAACTAAAAAAGCATTATGATATATAACAATGATGATTTTCAAAGAGTACGTTTAATTTCATACAACATTTTCATCTTAATACCTAGATTGGAAAGTGATTGCAGCTTATTGTAGATGTCTTAATGATGGCCAAATAAAATAACGTAAAAACAGCATTTAGTAGTTTCCCTACAAGTATATTAGTATTTAAAGATTTTAGATATCACATTTCTAAAAAAAAAAATAACAAAGTGCTTGTGATTCTTTAATCAGACAAGAGGCACGATCTCATACCTCACAGAAGATGCTCTCGGCTCTATGTACGTTGTTATATAATTCATGCGAATACACGGGTATTTGCCTTTCGCCTTGTCTTATATCCGACCTGTTCGGAACGAACGTAATTTATGCATTGAATTTCAATTTCATTGCTTAAAAGATTTTTTTTTGGAAAAATTTTCGTCTCATTCATTTTAGTGAAGAAAGAGTATTGCTATGTATAACTAATATACTGGAAAGTCCCGAATGATGCTTACTACTTTAAGCAAATGCAAAATTATCGGGACAAGATACAAGATTATGATTAATAGATTTAACTTAACAATCAAATGAATTAAGACGGTAAAGCTCAGTCAATACCACACGAAAAACATAAATAATAAACAATCCGAGTGATCAGAACAAAGTTTGCGCCCGCTGACCTCTCATCGTAAAGACCGGTTCTGTCGCGTCGACGATTAAGCGATCTTCCCGCTGTTCAACCGTTTTCGGGTTAATTTCTTCATTCTTCGAGCCCTTCGCATTCTTGTTCCTTTTAAAATCCCAAGGCGCTACAAAATTCGAGACAATTCCTCTAATGGGAGTTCTCGTAAACGCTGAGCGTATTCGAAATACTTTTCTTATAATCTGGGTAATGGCCTCTTGCCTACGATTCTATCAAACAATCATAGCTTTAGTGGGATCGTTGATGGAACAGTGAACGAAGTTACGAAAGCAATTCCACAAGTATCCGACGTCAATCACCGTACACCGAATACACACGAAATAGTTATATCTGATGAGATTGATAACGCTGGAGGCGGAAGTAAAAGAATTGTTCCTTTGATTTATTTTATCGTGCATTTTGTAACTAGATACGGGTGAATTGAAACCTAATTGTTTGTTGTTTTAAAAATTACATCAAGACCTGTATTAACTCTTACTAGTGCAAACATTCATTACTGTCGATACATTTAATTGATGCTGATGTTTGTATTATTGTTAAGATATTAATCGAACTTGTAGCTTTTCAGTTTTACATCAATAGCAGGAGTGGTAATAAAAATAGCGACAGAAGCAATATATACTGCATATTGACAAATTTAGAATTGGCAAAACCTTTTACTTTTACTTTTAAACCGAGTGCTGTAAGCACGTAATATGTAACAGCCGGTTCGACGTCTTGCATTTTTCTTTATTTCCACAGCTAAGAAATCTTATCTCGCCCGAGGGCACGAGTAGCATTAATCTTATTACTGGGACGAGAGCTACGACCCTGTCAGTGGAGTTTCGAATCTGTTACACGCCTGCCTATCCTGACAATCTCGGATTCCGATTCGGTCGTGAGTCGGTTGTCATACTGACGTTTTTATCTCAATGATTGTTAAAAGCTTCTTTAGTGCTTTCGTATTATTTAAACCTCCCTGCTTTTTTTCTTCTTGAAACAATGAGCTTTCACGATCATTTATTCTATTGGAGTATTCAGACGAAGAATGAGTTTTTGATTTATTTCCCTTTTCCATTATTAATAGAAATTAAATCAAGTTTTGACTTAAAAATAAATAAGGACCAAAATATTTGAAGAAATTTCGATGCCAGAGTGATAAGGTAATCGTTAAAATTATAGAAATGATGCTATTCTTAATTATGTATGTGAAAAGACATTTGATGAGATTGAAAATTATAATGTTAATAAATTGGTTTAGTAACAAAAATTAAGATATAAAAACAAAGGATAACTAAATAAAAAGGATATAATCCAGTAAACGTGATAGGATCGAATGATAAATAACTAGAAAATAAAGTGATAAATCAAGTAATAAAAGCATAGATCATTAAACTATACAATAGCCCGAATCGGGATGTCGTAAATAAATCTAAATCAGACCATAAGTCGATAACGATACAACACTAATGACATCAAATATTCCAATACTGTATCGACTGGTATCGTATCGTAAATTTGTTAGTGTAACAATGCTATTGAGTGCGGTCCTATTTGTTAATACTCGTTTCCCTTTACTTTTGTTTCGCCCGAACGCTTTTTGTAATAAACGAGGTGGCAGATCGTAAAACTCAGCTTTATCGGCATTTGTCCGAGTTTGTTTATAGCCTAACAGGATTACCAGTTGTGATTGATTCGACTTCCTTCAAATAAATATCCCTCTAACCGATGTAAAGGACTTTGTCTACTTTGTACTCTACAGCATTGAAATCTAATTTAAAAGAAGTAGACAATTCAAGACCGATATCCATAATGAACCTTTAAATCTAGCCAGTAGTTTTGAAATAGCTATATTTTCTTCTTATTTAGGACAATGATTTATTTAAGATACGATGCGTAGAAATACATTTTCTAATCACCTCCGAAGCAAATGGATAGTGGTTGCCGACAAAACACATGTAAAGCACCCGTTACCGATATATTAAATAGTGCTATATTATACATGTTTTGTGATCGATTAAATTTCTTCAATTCGAAATCAATTTCAAACTTTACACTATTCGTAATAAAATACATTTTAGAACAAATTTTTGAACTCATTCGATAGTTTATAGTTTTTCTACTAAAAGCATGCGGTACGGGTCCTCTCGCTTGGTTAATTAAGACATGTTTTATCAAACGTTTTGAGGCAGTAAATAAAATTGTAATCTACCATTCTAAGAGTATAGGCGTCTCAATAACACGCCTTTATCTCGGAATGGTTAGCCGAAACGCATAACGTTTCTTTGATGCTACACCTACACTCACTATTAAGCCGTAATAATCTTCCATTAATACTAATGCAGTGTCAAATTTTAATGTATCTTCTGATAGGACATCTAAAAAGCCCAAATATTATACGTCTCAATCCGTTGTAATTGATGGCTTTAAATTTTTTAATTTTTATGTTTACAGGTAATCTCCAACCAGCCAGTCGTGTTACACAAATACTAAGGTATTTATACATAATCATTAGTAAAAAACTATATTATAGAAGGTAAAGACTAATATAGTTACTGGTTTAATGTTTTACGCTGTTACTTCTCAGTGATGAAATGTTTTTGATGTTATCAAATTTCCAGTTTCCTTAATTTGTAGAAAACTTTGCAATACAAATAAGTCATGCCAAAAGTTTTTTGCTTTCGGAAGCAGGTCATGAGTTTTGGAGCGTACTGATTAAATACTTTTATCTTTATTTACTAGGGCGTTTGTGCGAACAATTTCGTTTTAGGATTTATCGTTGAACTTTAAATGAGATCAAGTCCTAACTTTCTACAACTGTTCTAATATTATTTCATTTCTGACTTAGATTTGTTGGATTCGCTTCTGCGAGAGTTCTTACAGATAATACGTTTAAAATTTAATTTAAATAATTACAGCAATTTTCTAAATTTCTTTTTAATTCATATTTAAACTAGCTAATGCCCGCAACATCGTCTACGCAATTTTAAGATAAAAAAAAACATACAGACGAATTAAGTACCTCCTTTTTTGGGAAGTCGGTCAAAAAGTAGCCTATAATATGCCCGTCTATGTCAGCTACCCTTCAGTGGAAGTCCAGTCGAAATCGGCCCAGCCGTTTCGGAGTTAACCGGAACAAACGCGGCTTGCGGACAGACAGACAACAAAATTTTAAATGCTATTTCCGTTGTTTTCGAAATTTCCAGATTTCGTCTTTCCGAAATATTCTTTTTATATTAGAAACAGACACTCCAATTTTATTAGGTGTATAGATTTGATTGCGATGCATAAAATCTACAATGAATAACGATAAAGGTAAAAGTGGAGTCACTTTCACATCCGTTTTTCTTATGATCAATGATTTTTTTTAGTTAATGGACTGCATGTTAAAACCGGTATAAAATTAAGAAGCCGTTACTAGCACGTCCCTGATGGATTTTCAAATATTGACCGCTTCGACCATTATCTTTAAGCGTGTCGGGCTAACGAAACATTGATAACAAAGTCGCCACCCTAAAAAAATGGTTTGTTTGTTCGGTCTCTGTTTATACAACGAAGCGGATATGACAAGGTGCGGAACCTTTTGTAATTAAAAATGGATGTTAGGTACCTTTTATACTAGGGCTGCACAAGAAAGCAGAGCAGGACAGAAGCGGTAGTACTTCTGTTGATTGTAGCCGAGACATAAATCTCATAGACTTTTCTTTTTAATACCGATATCGATTAAATATCGACTGCATCGTCACCTCCTTTAGGTGGGATCGTGGTCAAGCGCTAGCTTAACAAATAATAATAATAAATATCGCTAATAGAATCGACAAAATGTATGGGAATTAATACGTGACTAGAATTCGACATATATAGGTAAAACTAGAAATATCTCTTTGTCTAAGTCTAGAAAGATAATTACAATACAGTAAGTGTGTGTTTGAACAATTGTAATACTGAATAGGCGACTATCTGTGTCACTGTTACCCTAGTGTGAAACTATCTTTATGTGATATCGTGTTGCATTTTAAATTTACTGTTTTGTGTGACCGTCCGTTGGTCATTTCTTTTTGTATACACATTTCATTTTTATTGACTCAGTAATTAAGAAAGGAAGACAGTTTTGTCAACAAAAAATATTTTATTACAATAGAACATAAATTTTAATTAAGGATGTTAATTCTACTTTTTTGTGACAAAGATAATTGGGGCGTCAATGCTGTGAAGAAATTAAACAAAAAAGTTTATAGCATTGCCTCTTAGACCAGAGATTTTCAAACTTTTTTCTCATAGAATACTCTTTTTAAATTTTACTGGTTTCGATGAGCACCAAGCTACATTTCTTCGTCAACTTGTGAAGCCTCTAACTAATTTCACGTCGTAGTTCTTCCCTACCAATACAAGGAACCCAAGATGCCTTAGCCTACTTTGGATATCATTGGACTAAACTATAATGGAAGACAAATTACGATTTTATAATTAAACTAGCTTCCGCCCGCGACTCCGTCCGCGTGGTATTAATAAAAACAAAAGAAACAACAAAAGTAGCCTATATGTTCTTCCAGACTATCGTCTACATGTATGCCAAATTTCATCCAGATCCGTTCAGCCTTTTAGGCTCTAACAAACATCCAACCAAACTTTCACATTTATAATATTAGTCAGATTCCTAGAAATAAACTTTTTTAATGTTAATACATTTTTTTAAATTTACTAATATTGTGCTAGGATGTGGATGACAATAGTCAAGGCGGGAATCGAATCTTGGATCACGTGATAGGAAATCCGTACCACCATTAGGCTAATGGCGCTTAACTAGTTAACACGTAATCAAAAAATCAAAATACAATAATAAGTATGCAATAAATCTGTAACCCGACTCCCACATGTGCTGAGTGAGAGCATTCAGGAGATATTAATTACGGGGCCGACTAAAGGAATTCCCAGTGTGTATTTCAACGCTTTAATTGGGAACAAATGTGCTGATAGCTAAGCTCATATTCAGTAGGAATCACGTATCAGACTTGATTATGATAAATTCTTTGACATTGATGTAAAACAACTAGATTTTTAACTTGGTAGGGACAATTTTAATCTATACTATTATTATAAAGAAAAAAGTTTTAGTATTTTTGTATGTATTGAAATAACTAAAAAAGTAATACTCGCGCCCGTTGTAATACCACGACCACACAGAAGACAGGCGTGAAATGGAAGCAATTCCGTGTTTCGTCTGATGAGTATGGTGCCGGAGGCCTAATTTAAGTCCCTTACTCTTTACCACCCTTTTCTTTTAAGGAGAAGATGGGAAGGGGAAGTGGATTTGACGGAGGAGGAGATGCATAGGAAGGGCAAATATCCTCTTTATGTGCGTGTCCTCCTCTGTCGGATAAAGGTAGGCAACGCATCTGCAATTGAGGATGTCTAAGGGCAGCGGTCGCTTCGCCATTTTGGCGGATTCAAGTGGCCGCTTGCATGTTTGCCACATTATGTTATAAAAAAAAGTACTGGGCCGATTTTAATTTTTTCATTAAAAAGCTACGTTATCAGTGGGTTACATAGGTTATGTTTTTTTTTACTCTTTAATTTCGCGCGGGCGAAGTTGCAACGACAGAGAACTAAGAGTTTTTGAAGAAAATGTAGGAAATTTTCAAATTGTTTGAAAAATTCTTTGTACGTACATTAAACAAAAATTAATTTATTGTAAACAAGACAATCTATGTATTATACTAAATATTATAAACTAGCTGTTGCTCGCGACTTCGTCCACGTGAAATTTAAAATTATAAGCTATGTTACTCAGCGATAATTTATTTTTTTGTAAAGTGGCCCAGCATGCAATACATACAAAAATACAAAGATTTCCTTTTAATAATATTAGCATAGATATATATTAATTCATACAGGTTTTAGTAGCGTGTGTGATTTAAATGTCCATTTGTGAACAAAATCTAATCCGTTTTCCTGCTTCCGTATTCAATCGCAAACGTGCCTTTGATGATCCTGACTCGATTCCCTCTGCATCCGTAATCTTCGCTTACGAATGGGAATGGACTGGTTTGTTGCAAAACTATTGACAAACATACGGTATTAAGGTTAACAGAATTTTTGTTTATATCATTATTACCTTCGTCCTTATCTATATTTATGGTATCTTACTAATATTATAAATGCGAAAGTTTAGATGGATAGATGGATGGATGGATGGATTTTTGTTAGAGTTTGTAGCCTAAACGGCTAAAAGGATATCGATGAAATTTGGCATGAATGTAGAGGATAGTCTGGAAGAACACATAGGCTACTAACTTTTGTTTTTTTGAACTCCACGCGGACGGAGTCGCGGGCCATAGCTAGTTATGTATAAAAATATTATTTATTTACGACTGGAAAAAATACTTTTATCCGCGAACCATATTTTTATTACATATGAAACTTGCATTGACTACACTTCTAACATAAAAGAATTGCAACTTTTAAATAGTACTTGATTGTCCTTAATCAACGTTTTAAAAAGTAATTATGGCAATACAATATACATGACGGTTCATTTGCTTTTACAATAAAACCAAATATGTAATGCAAGAAAACTATGAATACGAGAACGGCCATTTTAGCCGACATTAATACACGACGACGTACATAAATCATAAAGTAAATAGGCAATAAGAAGATATTTATCTGTGCATCAACGGACGCGGTGTAACTCGACGAGAAATCCGATTAATACAACAATATGGTTAATTGCGTCGAGCGAGCTTTGCCAGCCACAAAGCGCGGGGAAATGCCTGCGCGGGGGACGAAGTGTCTGCGCGGGGGAAGAAGTGCCTGGCGCGGGGGACGAAGTGCCTGGCGCGGGGGACGAAGTGCCTGGCGCGGGGGACGAAGTGCCTGGCGCGGGGGACGTAGTGCCTGCACGGGGAAGGATGTCCGGCATGCGGGGATCGGGGATCGTCCACAGTAAATGTTTCATCCACATACATTAAACTCGCATTTCGTGAGGTTCAAATGACGACCCGTTATTGATGATCCGAACGAAGTTTTATTGTTTTTTTTAAACAAAACAAGTTTTTGATGACTTATTAAGAAGTCTCTCAAGGACCGATTCATAAATGAATACCTTAAGTACGGCGAAATCATGTAGTTGCCTTTCAGATACTCACTTTTTTTTTATAAGTTTAATTTACCCTAAAATATTTAATATTCTTTTAACATACTTCTGGTAAACATTTTAATTACATGTCACTCAATTTATTTAATCTCAATTATAATGACTACCACAAGAAAAACCATTTCAACGTTGCGATCATTAAAAACAAGTTAAGTCTGATGTCGTTCGGACGCAGATTACAAAGCATCCTGCTGTGTGTTACCGACGGATATTGAATTTCGCCATTTCATAATTGTACTAGGCATAAGTCAGTAAATTATTTGGCAAGTGCTGTAAAAATTGTTAATGAATTGTAAAATATAACACATAAACGTTTTAAAAACAAGTCCGAACTTTAA